TGCCGCTACGTCAGCCATCACACCTTCAACTTTCAAGGACTCGCCCACCATTCACAGCTCGTCCAGTCCACCTTCAACAGGGACATCACATTCTCTGGCGTCGCAATGCTAGTCTCTGGATGTTCCACCTGCATTTTACCAATATCTCAGTTACAGTTACCCAGAGAAGCCAAGAAACACATGACCCGCTCCGACGCCGTAGTAAAAGGAATCAACGGCAGCACCACCGCCCTTGGCGAACTGACTTGCGACATCACCATCGGCAGTCGAGACTCACCCACATTCAAAAAGGTTAACGTGCTGGTAACTACCCAAACCACACCGATCCTGATCGGCCAAAATATCCTATGTCACAACACGCTCGACGTTATCGGCACCGAAAGCAGCAGCAAAGGCACATTCGTCCGACCCGCATTTTTTATTACTTCAAACGTTATTTTAGCATCTTTAATCCAGAACTTTATTATGAAAGAGCTCACCCGAACAATCATCATGAAATATTTATAGAAAAGACACACAGGGGTAACCTTACGGCAGTGGGCAAGTGACTGAAGCCGAGCCGCCAGAGCAGGGCCGATAATATTGCTGATTCTTCTTTGGATTTTATCAGGGATTCTGTTTCGAATTCTTCTTCACCCAGTAACTCCTTGTGTCTTATTGGTTTTATTGTTTGCATGGGGTGAAATCGATTAAGAAAAATACAGAAGGGAGTGAAGGAAAACGAGAAGAAAGGATTAAAGCATCAATTGCAAGAAGACAGAATGCATGGTTGTTAGCAAAAGGGATAACCCAAAATGCAAATTACAAATTGGAGATGCCAAAATCAAGCAAGTACAACAATTTTAATATCTGGGAAGTGTTTTAACAGAGGACGGGAATTGCAAAATTGAAACCAGGAATCGTAACAGGCGGAAGTTTGGCGTCTGATTATTAATAACATGATATATGCAGATAACACTATGTTGATAGCAGACACGGAAAAAAATTCCAAAAAAATCCTATAAAAAGTAGTGAAGGAAAACGAGAAGAAAGCATTAAGCGTATGAATAGCAAGAAAACAGAATGCATGGACGTTAGCATAAGGATGAGCCTAAAATGCAAATTACAAATCAGAGATAGCAAAATCAAACAAGTACAAAAATTTAAATATCTGGGAAGTGTTTTAACAGAGGACGGGAATTGCAAAACTAAAATCAAAGGTCTCAATAGAGAATTTGAACTATGCATCATCTTAATGTAGTACAATCTTTTACAACTATCTTTTGTGAGGAATATCCTAGTTTCTGCCGTAGATAAGGTTCATTTTGACTAAATTCTAAACTTTTAACCTCCAGCGAATCTCGAATTGCAGTTTCAGTATTCTTGAAAAAACAGCCACAATATATTTCCAGGAATACAAAGAAAGATATTACATTGCCTAAACTCATAATTACAAGACTGAAAGAGTAATATATATATATATATATATTTACGAACCCCCCTCCTTCCTTTCTCCAACCTTATCAATCGCGAAGGTAGAGGAGGATCGTAATCTATGTTATTTTGTTTTTTAACATTTTTTTTTTTTTTTTTTTGTAAAATATATTTCTTTCCCAAGGGTCTCTTTCCGATTGATCAGACACGGCCAGGCGGAATCGATTAAGGAATAAACATGATAGTGGGAGGAGAGCATTCTCTAAGAAAGGTAAAATAAAAATCAGCGTATGGCCTTGTGCCATACTGCCATGAATTTATAGAACATGTGCTATACCTGCACGGATTCACAAAACATCAACATTTTAAGGCAATGTGGAAAGGAACATGTAATAAAAGATTTCATGTTAAATTTGCATGAAAGTACAAACATGAAAAAGAGGTACATTTAAGCAAAAACGGAGCACAAGAAAAATAACAAACTTAACTCAGAATAAAGTCTTTTCCACTAATAATGTCTCTCTTATATCTACTTCTTTTCTTTTTCTCTTTCCTTTTCTATTTCTTTTTATAAGGGTCTCTTTTTGAGGTCTTCTCTTACTTCCTCTCTTTCTCTTTTCGTCGTCTAGGGGCTTGGCTGACGATAAAGCAGAAAATGCTTTCCCTCTCTCTTTCGTCTTGGTATGACAGCATTCTCGCTCGAGATGGTCTGTTCTTTCTTTCTTTCTTTCTTTCTTTTCCCTCTCGTGCTTTGTTTAAGGGCTTGGTGACAGTTGAAACTGCTTTCTTTCTCTTCGATATAGCGGCGTTCCGCATACGTCGTCAAACGGGTCCATCCATTCGACCCGGAGACCAATTCTCCTCACAATTTCGCAAAAACATCTTTTCGGCCCATATGCCGAGACATTTGCCAGACGTCCTACCGGCCTGCCGGCCTCGGCCGAAACTAAAACTTTTCCGTTTCACTATTCGTTTCCGTTTTCTTCTCGTCACGTGGTCAATTTTCAAAATACTTACTTTTTCCCATTATGGGTGGAATGAGGTCATCGACCTCTCTCTCATCGTCAGGGTCAGAGAAAGTTTAGCTTAAAGTGTTTCAAGTTCTCCCAACTGGAATCTATCCGTGTAAATCACGCTGTCAACACCTTGACCAAAAGTGAAGGAAAGGGTACACTCTGGTCAATCCTTTTCGCCACGAAGTCTACCTATCTCTTTGGGTTTACTATCTTTACATTTTCTGCAAGTACTGGGCTCTTTATTTTAGAATGCTTCTAAAATATAAGCAATGGTATAGTTTTTACATTAAATTTAGATCGGGGTTCGTAACAATATATATATATATAATGAAAATGTTTAAACACTAGTACTCCATGGTCATAATTTATTACATTGAAATCGTGAATACGATCCAATTCATCAGACCCACAAATTCAAAAAGAAATCAGAAAATTATTTATTTATGTAATAAATTATGACCATGGAGCACTAGTGTTTTAGCCTTTTTATTATATCCTTACTCTGTCCTGCACATTGAGTTCTACCTGGATTCTATCCTCTTAGAATTTTTTTTACATATATATGTGTGTGTGTGTGTGTGTGTGCGTGCGTGTATGTATGTATATATATTTGTGTGTTTTAGATATATGTACATATATGTATGTGTATATTAACTACTAATATTATCTATATCTATCTATCTATCTATCTATATATCTCTCTCTCTCTCTCTCTATATATATATATATATATATATAATGAAATAATGAAACTTTCGATAATTTTGTGGAGCGACAAGACACCTCGAAGCTTACAAAGCGACGTCTACTTCCCACGACAACCGAGCTACAAATGCACCATACCGCGTGCTACACACCCTCACCAAGTCAGGAGAGTAGTGGGAGGGATCAAAAGGAAACAAGTTGCCAACTAGGAATTAAGAGTACTTAAAAAATTTAGATAACAAAACACCCCATTTGACTAAATCCATTACTGATATATATATATATATATATATATATATATATATATATATATATATATATATATCAGTAATGGATTTAGTCAAATGGAGTGTTTTGTTATTAGTTTGTTTTTTTTCACAACATATATATATATATATATATATATATATATATATATATATATATAACGGTACTGTTGTGAAAGGCCATAGATTGTCTAACACCGTTAAGTATTTTTGTTTCAGCTTGTAAGGTAAAAAAATACATAGTAGTGGAGCGATAAATACTTATGATTAATATTCGCTTTGCTTTATCTACGGAGAATATTGGATTAAGTGTATTAACAAGGAAGTAGATAAATATTTCTCCAGTAAAATAAATATTTTTTTCTATTTCTTTCTTCCGTTTTTTCTTTGTTTTGTTTTTGTCGGTGTGTTTTTATCATGAGGCTACAGACTTGGGTTAACTTTTTATCCATTGCATTTCATGAAATTCTTAAAATTAGAAATAACTATATTTTTTTTTAATAAATCATAATGATTAAATTGAATTGATTGTAGTAGAGGAGCTTCATGATCTGGTGTCGAAAGGGGTTTTTGTTTATTTTTTTTAAGTATGAGGCAGCCAAGGCGACTTTGGAGTTACATCTAAATACTTGCGCACACCCTCTTCTGATCAGACGAGGGAGCCAAGACGGCTTGGGAGTTTCATGTAGATGTTCAAATGAAAAAATTACTGTTCTCAAATAACAGCGTTTCAAAATAAAATTGTCCGTGTTTTCAACATTACTCCTAGAGGCCGTAGCCTAACATATCATACCATTTTGGAATCAGGCCGAATGTCGTTATTAAATTAAAACCATTCCCGGCCGGATCCGTCTCCGCAATCCTGAAATTTCCCAAGTTTTCATTACTTCGATTGTTTTCGGCGAAATTTTTATGTGACTTTTTACGATGAATTTTTGTACAATAACAATTTTTATAACTTGGAAATAAATTTGGTAATAATTGAAATGAATTGCGAAATCCAGCGAAAGTCACCCATGAAATAAAAATAATTGTTTACACGGAAATTTAAAGACAATTTGATTACGTAAGTCTTTTTACGTAATCAAATTGTCTTTAAATTAAGTGGTGGCAGAAGAATTATCATTGAACTTTTAAAAGATAAGCTTAAATATTAATGCAATACTTAAATGCAGCGATCAATTTTGAGTTCTTCTGTAGTTTATTGTTGCCTATAGCATCTACTCCTCCTACCTATTGTGATGAAGGCTCAATCAAGATCCCTCCACAGGAGCTAGCTTAAATGCTACCTGATAGGGCGGCTTTTAAGATAGTTAATAATATGGGTATATACATCGCATACGATTAAATCTTTACAGGTGTCATGGTGGGTAGATTGTATATATATATTTGATGGGCAAATTTTGTACCCTGTCACTTTGTTGACGTGTGGTGCTCTCACTCAATAATATTAATATCAATCATTTAACTAAAATGCATTAAAATATTTAATTGAAAGAATTTTAAATAATTTTAAATGTGAATACAAGCGAATATTGACCATACATTTTTTTTTCTTACAGTTGAGATTGTATCAAAATTATCGCACGCGAAAAAGACGATGGCATATAAAGAAGACAAACGAGAAAAAGTAAGGAAAATAAATTTTAAAATAAAATAATTCCTTGATAATCTTCTTCTTCTATGTACCTCATCCCCACAGAACGTTGGCGAGCATAGCTCTCCACAATTTCCTGTCCTCCGTAGCTCTTAATAAATTTTGTCTTTTTATCATTCCTCCTAAACCTTGTTCCGCCATCCATTTACTCAAGCTCACTAAGTAGGTTATGCATTGTTTTCCTCTGTTCCTCTTGCCTTCAATCTGTCCTTTGAGTATCAGATTTTCCAAGCCCTCTTTCCTTAACAAACATAAGTTTTAATAGATATAAATATTTTGTTTTCAATCAGAAAGTAATTTTTTAATTTCAAACTTCCATCAATGAACATGACTGTCTGTATGTGACGGGAAGGGGAGGTGATGGAATCATCACAGAATGCAACATTACATTATAATTCTATTACAAGGCTTCATAGTTCACAATCAGTGGTTATCTAGAACCCTGGGATAGACTGGGCTTCATAGCTGTTTATATAGTCAGTGCATTGATGACACAGTATCGGTGAGCGAAGGCTACCCAGACTGAAGTCAACGGCCACGGGCCCCTGACCAAGGCGGGTATTCAAATTCGAGGATATCGACTTTGGTTTGAGCTAAAGAGGAATGGGCTCCGCCAGGTCAAATTTACCCGAGACACGCTATACATGAATGAATACATCTCCTGTTTTCAATCCAAATATATGGTAATGTGCTCATCTAGACAGTGACCCTGTGTCCACACCCGGTCATGGAACTGGTGATAATGATTGGTATTATTACTATTGCTTTTTGGGTAATGAATTTTCAATCTTATTTCATTACTATTTTACCCTAGCTTATTATTATTACTTTCAGATAAAGAATTTTCATCGTCATTATTATTGTTATTATTAGTTTTATGTCGTCTTACGATTGGATAGTGTCACTTATTTATATGTCACTTATTTATCTCAACTAGCATAGTACCCGTCAGTAATGCTTAAAAGATTTATGCATGGATCGGAAATCTGCTAAGGGTTGAAGTATTTATGCGCTCAGACAATGAACAAAATATCACTCCCTGATCTAGAACTAGAGTGTATTACCTGAAAGCTGACGTACTAGATACGTCATTTGCCGGCTTACTACCAGGACGAGCGTTTGAATCAGGGAAATATTTACCTGTTACTTTTATACAATGATTTATCTCAGTTTGACAGAAATTGCAGACTGAAAATCACATAGAAAATATCATAATATTCATTATTAATGTTATATTATTATTATTCATTATTATAGTATATGATAAATTTCCATTGTCGGATCAACCTGGGTATGACGATAAACTACATCTGGCAGCAATACCTGTGATAAGAAAGTTTTGAGGAGCGTGGAATTGCCCTTTAATTGCTGTTGTTCCCAGGTCCACTCTGACCCAGGATGCTAGCACTTGTTAAGATCCCAACTATGGGCAAATAGTGAACCTTCAAACTGGGATTAAAACATAAAAATGTTAAAATTTAAAAAAATTACCAGCAATACATTTTTGAAAAAAATTATCAAAGCTCAAAAGAATTTCGGCATTAAATGACATACACATAAGGAGTTGATATGCCGTTAAACAAACAAACCAATCTACTGTTGGATTAAATAAACCTTCCATCCTCTTTCTTTAGAAATTACTTTGTTTACGTTACAAAACTGAGCAGATTTCGAGAGTCAATGAAAAATCTTTGTTTAAAATCGACGCACGAGAGGTCCAAGTACATCAGATCTAATGACAGTTTCCCCTACAATAATGCAGGTTCGAATCATGCCGGAGAGCGCATATTTTTCTCTAATAAGGCTTATTTATATATATATATTTATATATATATATATATATATATATATATATATATATATATATCAGTGGCGATTCCGGGAGTCGGGTTTTCGGGTTTAGCCCGAGGGAATCAACATTCAATTATATCTATTTTAAAGCAACAAAAATTTTTCATAGTGAGTTGTTTCATTCTTGACTTCAGCTGGATACAAAATTAATTGTTTTAACTCTGTGCCTCAAAATATTGACCGAAACAAATTTCGTTGATATCGTTCATAATAAAGAAAGAAGAAAGAAAAAAAAAACAAAGAAAAAGTAAGTAAAAAAAAGAATAAAATAAAATAAACGTGGCCAGTTGGGCTGCGTAGATCTTAGTCCAATCTGAGCTAGTGACATACTTACTAGGCAATATATTTCTTGCTATAAATAATCTTTTAAAAATTTCTATTGACTTGTATATCCTGTATTTCAACGAACCCATTTTTATTTTAGCTTTTTTGTTTTCAAATGTCAATTTTAAATAATTTATTCTGTAAAGTATAAGGTTTTTAGCGGAATGTATGTTTTATAAAAGGGCAAATTAAATTTAGCCCGACCTAAAATTCTGTCGACGACTAAAGGGTTGGGGTGAGGGTAAGTGTTGAGGGAATATGATATCAGGCAGCAGTACATAAACACACAGATAGAGAGATACATAAACACACTAACGCATAGACAAGTATACAACCTCACACTCGAGATAGATACACTCGTTATTAAAAAAAAAAAAAAAAGTATATCTGGTTTTGTCTTGACTCCTTTTTTCTTACATGTCTGGAAAAAAATTTAAAAGAAATGCTTATTTTTATAGAATTATTGCAATTAATATTAAAATACTAAAAGTGTTTTTTTTATTTCATGCACAGGGATTTTTTAAAATGATATATTTTAGTTAGAGTAAAGGAAAGCGTCTAAATTATACCAATAGTATATGTTGTTAAAGATTGTAATGAGCCTGCCAAAGATTGATGATCGAGAGTCGCCACTGATATATATATATATATATATATATATATATATATATATATATATATATATATATATATATGTCTGTGTTTTTGTGTGTGTGTATATATATATATATATATATATATATATATATATATATATATATATATGTATGTATGTATGTATACATATATATATTCCTTTTCCTTTCTTTTAACAACAGGTAGAATTAACCGAAAAAAACAAACCACAGAGCAATACCCAACGAGATAATATCACGTTGGTAACAGCGTATTTTTTGCTCCCTCCTTTTCGGAAAGGAAAGGTTTTTAATTTCCGGAAACCCCAACATTACATTGAATGGATGAATGCCTATTCTTGGGTCGTAAATCCGTTAATTATATACTTGGATAACCAAGAAGTATATTACTTGGTCAAAGATATGTTCAAACACAATAAAAATAAACACATCAAATTTATACTTATCAAACGGGATCAACTCTGGATCTTCCGACAGAAGTCGATCATTGCTAAGATATTCAAACAACCAAACTATCCTGTTCATTATCCAAACACTGTAATACCTGAATACAATTGCGTATCGCATGCAAAATTCGAACTACTGAAATGGAGTATTGAACAAAACTATTACCACACCAAATACTTTATATGGATTGATATTGGATATTTTCGGTAAGTTATTATTATTATTATTATTATTATTATTAGATCCTCTTCATTCTTGGAGGTTTCGGCCGATTAATGAAAATCATATTCAGTTCATATACGCAACTTAAAGATTTTTCTTAGTTATGAGTTGCTCCAGTCAGTACTTTCAACTACGCCCCACAACCCACTGTAGTCAAGTATACCCCCAAAGTCGTCCTACGAGGTAAAAAGATTCCTGAAAATAGTCCCGAGTGCGCCCTAAGAAAAGGGACAACCTGGTTTTCCCTACGATGTTTGAGCACCTCTGTATATTCGCCAGATCTGTCTTCACGATGTTCTTATGCCAAAGTACAGTGACGTATAGGATCTATATGATTATTATATGTGCATTGTGATGTAATGGATAACGGCTCGGAATGAGAAATAGGAGAGCCAGGTTCGAATTCCAGTCGGGTTCATTACATTTACTTACACGCAAATACCCTTCTTCCTCCAGCTATGGGTTGAGCAGCAGGACAGACTGACAATTATGATGGCCGTTCTAGGGGAGTTCTTGGCTGGTGAACCGTTCTTTGGGGGGTTATATGTACGCTTGTCTTCACGGATTTGGAGGGCAAGCTTTGTGTTGTGGACGATACCAGAAAAGATCGAGCATTTCGTCTCATTGGGATTTAATCGCCCAACGACTCCAGAGAGCAAGCTGCCTTTCTTCGGCAGATCAATCCGTTTCTGAGTGGTAATTCTAATGGGTGACTGGAATGCCGTCCTCGATCCCGATATAGATCGCACGGGGACTAGATCGGGTACTAACAACTCTGATGTAAAGCCATTTCGGGACTTTATCGACAGGTTGGATCATGTCGATAAGTTCAGGAATTAATTTCCTTGGGAGGTAGTTTGGACTTGGACTAATAGGGGCAGCTCGGCTTCGGTGTTGCGAACGAGCTCCATTGACCGAATCTTAGGAGAGTCGACTTAGAGCTCTTAGGCAGTCCAAGTCATCCTAGTATAGTTTATTCGGACTATAGGCTTGTTCGGGTTCGTCTAAACTTAGATAAGCCTAGGATTAGCATGGATGACTAATGGAAATTCAACACATCGTTGTTCGCTGAGAAGGATTTTCAGAACCAGCTTTTAGTAACTCTAATGCGAGAACTGATGGGGTTAGTGGTCGGGAATAAATGGTGGGCTCCCATTAAGGCTACCATTAGATCGTTTGCTGCTGATTATAGTAAGCTACTCAACCGAGATGGATTAGCAGAGCAAATGACACAAGAATCTAGAGTAGGAAGGGCTATAAAATCGGGGGATTGTGGGGAAATAGCCGCAGTTAAAGCAGAGTTGGCCTCCTTGCATATCACAAAGGATCAAGCTCTGGTAGTTAGAGCTAGATTAAAAAGGATGTCTTCCGAAGCAACAAATATGGCCGCTGAATTGCAAGCTGAAGAAGTTTGGAGTATCGTTAAATTGCCGGATGGACGTACCGTGACTACAAACGAAGGTATATGTGAGGCTTTCCGAACTTACTATCAGGGAGTCCGGACATCTATTTGGCTGGCTTTCCTCGCCTCGAGGCGACTGAAGCGGCTGAATGCGTGAGTCCGATAATAAAGGAGAAAATCTGGGATGCGTTGAAGCATGTCGGCCGAGACAAGACCCGAGTATCAATAGAATCCTCAATGAGGTGTACTTGAGGCAGTCGCACGTGTCCTTCTGCCGGCACTGGTCATTAACCAACGGATGAAGAACGGGAGTATTCCCGAACGCTTCACCAGAGGTGTGATCAAGTTACTTCGCAACAATAAACGGTGGGGATGGGATTACTAACTTCCGACCCTTAATTATGTTGAATACAGTAAAAGATTTTGGCCAAGGTTTAGCCAACCGTTTGCAGAATGTCCTGCCTAGTCTGATTGGACCCGAGCAGATTTGCGCTATGAAGGGTTGGACTATTCAGGGCAACCTTCATATGTTACGCTTGATCGTAGAACAAGTCGACAGTGAGGCCGCGCTGATCAATTTAGATAAGTCCAAGCATTTGATAAGGTTGACCATCGATTTCTCGGGGCTGTCTTCGAGTCAGTCGGCTTCGGGTCGTACTTTCGATACTTGATTTGTCTCTTTTTATCGGTCCTCCTGTGCGATGATGGAAGTGAATAGCGTAAGGTCGAAACATTTGATGTTGTCCAGAGCCATTCGTCAAGGTTGCCCGCTTTCGTCGATGCTGTACATTCCTGCGTTGGAGCCCTTCTTGCTCAAGTTAAAGGCGATTCAGATCCTACATGGAATTACCCTCCCTGGTTTGAACACTCCGGCCAGATATTTCTCCATGTCACCGCTTTCGTGAAAAGCAACGCGAGATTGACGAAGTTGGCAAGGAAATCAGCAGGTATGAGGAGGTGACAGTAGTCAAAATCAACCGCAATAAGTCTGTAGGCTTGAAGTTGGGGGCGTGGAAGGGAGTTCCTCTTCCCGGACCTTTCAGTTGGACGGACGAGCCTCTCAAGATACTCGGTGTCTGGTTTAGCCCCGACCTCAAGTTGTAAAAGAATTGACAGGAGATCCGAGAAAAAGCCAAGGTAGCAGTTCTTCTGTGGTCTCGGAGGGGATGCCGGAAGTTTGTATCCCCCTACATCTACCCCATCCTGTCTCTCGGTGCTTCCACTCCCGTGCGCCGAGCTAATTTTATTGGTTCGAGTCTTGTTTCACCACGTTTGGGGTAAAAGTCTCCTAAGGTGCGTCAGTCAGTCTGTTGCCTCCACTCGTCTGAGGCCGATCTAGCAATGTCCGACGTTGAGATTCGTCAACAGACGTTGCGGCTCAAGTTCTATCGCGAGTGTCGACTTGCTCTGAAAGACATCACACGGGTAAAGGTAGGCCTCTCCGACACCCGACTGCTGTCTCCTAAGGCATTATATCATGTGTTAGTGCGAGGGGGGCGCTTGAGATGCTCTAAGGGATGAGCTCGGTTTGACGAAGGAGGAATTTAGCTCTCTGTGGACTTGGACGTCCGGGTGGCGGTGTCTCAATAACGACGAGGCATCACTCACCTGTCTGGTATTCCGGAATCCCCTCTAGGTCGGCAAAAAGCTCTGGGCAGCGGGGTTGGCTGTTACCTCATCTTCTTCCACCGTAGCATCGTACGACCGTTGTGCGAACTGATTGAAGGTTACTGGGCGGAAAGTTCTTTGTCCTCGAGGCCATTTCCGTTTGTAGTAATTTTGTGTCGCAGTTGAAAAAGAATGAACACTATGTGTTCTTGTATTTACTTGGCATTATACGAGTCGTGATTTGGACGACGCGACAGGAGTTTTATGGAGGTGAGAAGTTTTCCTATTCTCAACTAATTTTGTTCTTTAAGCACTATAGCTTAAAGTCAAAATTAGAGCGGAAAGGAGGCGACTCTCTTCATTAAAATTCGGCGAAAGATGGTTTAGTGTTTCGCGTTTGGCTCACTTGAGAGAGGCTAAGTTAGAGTGACATCTGAAGTTGACATAGGATTAAGGATATTGGACGCCTGGATTAAAAATTTGTCATTTAGTGTTAGTTGTTTTTCTTTTTGTTCAAGTTAATAAATTTAACTTAGCCAGTGTATGGATGGTCTTCGGCTCCTTTATTTTTTGCCCCCCTAATTTTTATTTCGATTATTCCTCTTTCCCTCCCCATTTAGGTGACAGGGATTGCGGTTCTCTGGTTAAACTGTAGGATGTTTTTCGTTTTGTGTGTGATATTTCGGAATTGTTATTGTGTCTAAATGTGTGTTTGTGAGTGATTGTAGAATGGATGCATGGAAATCATTTTATTAATGAATGAATTAATTAATCAGTATTTTTTCGTCCCGTTAACTGTTATTTCTGCCATGATTAGACTGTTGGTGGTGCCTTTTACTAACACTGGTTTTGTTTAGTTGTGTAGATAACTTTTTTATATCATGAACATTGGGGTTATATATTTTTAGATTTTTATCAATCCAGCCCTCCACAAAAACTGTACATATGAGGATTAGGTAGGATTTTTTATAGTGAATGTGGCATTGTGGTGTATGTGTATGGCAGAGTTTTGGTGAAAGGAACAATGTTCGGACGATTGGGTCAGTGAGTCTATCTTAGCGGTAATACAAGATATTGAGGAATCAACGATTACAGTTAACTCTGCTTGTCAACTCTCTACCTTCAGATGGAGAGGAAATCAGACGATTCTATGCCTACGGGCAGAGTTTCGTCCGGGAAGGTAGACAGCCACCCGACCCCGTATATGCGGGGTCTACGGAAAATTTTCCCAAGTGTACGCGCACGGAAAGAGCCCCACGTTTAAAACTGGCTTTGTGCCACATCCCAACTTGTGTGGAGGTCTCGGGTAAATACCGAGAAGTTAACGATTAACTGTTTATTACATTAGTCTGTGTTCTCAATCGATTACTATATTATTCTCCGGAATAAACTACTTCTTATTTTCTATATGTGTGCCAACGACACATTTGACGACGAGAGATTCGAATTTTAAAATTTCCAGCGGTATATCAACATTTGACAAGGAAAATTTCGTGTGTAAAAATTTCCAGTGTGATACCAACACTGGGTTTAAAGAAATTTACAGTCATATGCCAAGAAATTGTTAGCGACGACTCAACCTCGGATTAATTCTAAGTCTGTATAACATATTGACGTGTTAAAAACAAGTAAGAATTTTATTTGTTCAGTAAATTTTTACGGATGGATGCCAAGGTCCCTATTGCCAGCTGAGAAAAGGTTACAGCCAAATCGAAAAAGAGGTTTTAGGGATAATTTTTGCTGTAAAAAAAGTTCCATAGATTCATTCATGGAAGAAACGGACCACAGACAGTAATTGACAATGTTGGGTTCCACAAAAGGAATTCCTATACATACTGCAAATCGACTTCAGAGGATGGGAACAATATTAGCAAATTATAATTTTAAAATGGAGTTCCATCCGTCAAAGAGGTTAGGGCATGCGAATGCGTTATCCAGGTTAATCTCCAAACTATGTGAACTATTCGAGATGATATCAGCCTTAAGAATAGAAATGGAAATAAAAAGTGTACTGTGCAACACCATACGGCAATTAGCTGTGACGCTCGAGAAGCTCATGAACAAAGCAAAAATAGACAAATATATTACAGAGAAAAAGAAACCAATTATGGACCAACAGTACAAAAAGATTAGTGAAAAGATTTTTTCTATCTGTGATGAAATTTTGATGTACGGCGAATGGTGATAGCAGGAGCGCTGCAAATAATAAATTAAAATACTCCCATACTGGTCACCCCGGTATATCGAGGATGAAAGCTTTAATAAGAAGCTAAGTTTTTTGGCAGAATATGGACAAAGAAATGGAGAAAACGGTAAAATCGTTCAGAGATTGTTTGATGGGGCAAATTTACCCCTTGACCAAAGGTGGACAGACCTTGGGCAAGGTAGCATATAGATTTTGTAGGTCAACTGAAGGAACAATATTGTTTTATCGTGGTTGACAGTTTTTCGAAATGGCCAGAGGTGATGAAATGTAAAAATCCTACGTACAATTAAATTTTTACATGAACTCTGATACGATTGTATCGGTCATTGGTAGACAATTCACGACAAGATTTCAAAGACTTTTGAAAAGGTTTTCGATTGTACACATAACTACCGCAACATATCACCTGCGATCTAATGGGTAGGCAGAAAGATTTGTAGACACTTTTAAGCGAGCATTAAAAAAATCGGACGGGAACAAATCCGTTAACTATCTGCTACAATTTTTAAGGGTATATCGTGTGACAACAAACCCAAGTACTAATTCACCTGCAGGGTTAATGCATCGGGAGAAAAATGAGATCTGTCTTCGGTAAACTGTTGCTAAAGGGCAATAATAAAAAAAACAATAAAGAGACAAACAGATACCAGGAAAAAAAATTTTACAAAGAAAAACGGGAAAAAAATTTGGAATCCTGGTGCCATTGATAAACGCATCAGGAGATTAATGTATATCATTAAAAAAAAACGAAAAAGACTATTAAGAAACATCACAACCAGATGAGGAAAAGGTACACGGGGAATATAAATAACCAGAAGTAAGAACCGATGAAGGTTATTTATGACTTATTCAATGTATCGATGCCCTTAGTAGCCTCTGAAGAGAAATGTCCGAGTAAACAGAAAAGAAAATTTAGAGGGATAAACCCCGAAAAAGAAAAGATACGTCTTCCAGAGAAAGTAATCAATTCAAAAAAGGGGGATGTTGTGGAGTAGCTGAACACCCCCAGAAGATAGACTGGTCTAAGACTATTTAAACAGTACTCTCTCTAACTGAGGAAGAGGGGTTAACGATTAACTCTTTATTACATTAGTCTATGTTCTCAACCCTGTACCATATTATTCTCCAGAATAAAAATCTACTTCTTATTTTCTATATGTGTGTCAACCTTTCCTATTTACGACACAACAGTACTATAATTACTTTCTTTATATTCCTTCTCAAACTTTCAAAATGGAATCATTATAGTTGTCGATCTTTTTCTTTGCTTCTTATTCTCATGAAAAATGAAGAGGCAACATCTCTCGAGTAGCAAAACGTTTTTTTTTTCTGTCCAGAAGGACATTATTTTATGCTGCTCTAAAACTGTCATTTCATTATTACTAGAAGTATTAATATAATTATCATTAGTAGTAAGTGAAAAAGCAGTATACCAAAAATGGAACGATGGAGCAAAAATGTACGAATTCCAATATAGCCACCAGAACCATGAACGTAAACAATAATAAACCGAGTGGTGACCTATACAAAAATCTAAATAATAATAAAGCATCACATGACATTGGAGCTGAACTTTTGAAAATAGCTTACCTTATCGTCTAATTCAATAACAAGTTTCCCAAAATCATACATGCCTGACGAAGATGCCAATATATTTCAAACTACATCAGGAATCCGACAAGGAGGAAATGAGAGTCTTAATCTCTTTAATTTCTTTCTAGACTATACCTTGCGCGTATACAAACGAACTAAGAAAAAAAAAACAGCGTTATTGCTTTCCCTCCCGAGGCCAACGTAAAGAAGAAGTGTGGGCGGATATGTTGATGACATAGTTATTCCTAGTTAAAATAAAAATAAAAAGTTAGCATCCTCTATTGAGTGTTGCAAGATACTTATCGAAAACAGAAACTATGATCTAGAATTGGAATGAAAGCAATGATGGCATCTACCCTGAATTCATCACAAAATTTCAAGGTAGCGTGGACGCCTTTGAACTCTATCAAGGCTGGAAAATGAGAATTACATATGAACCATTTTGTTAGTCAACTTTCTATTGAAGTGAATTCATTCCTCACGCGTTTCATGCTAGTGTAGCCTTGTGCTGAGACAAAGGTAATCTCTGTAAATCTGAATAAGAGTCATTGGTACAACAGCATGGAAATATTTTTGCTATTTTTAATTGTGTCAATAAAGACAATTATGATTTTAGTGTTAAAAATTCGACCTAAGCTTTTTAGCCTTCAGTGTTTTCGTTACTCTCAACAATTAAGAGTCTCATTGAAATTTTTTTACGCTTTTTTTTTACGTTATGAAAACAACCCAAAAAGGCTTCCGCGTAGTCTATCTATATATATATAATCTATAGAGTTCTCCAAACTAGATTTCGCCACAAGATTTTATTTTACTCGCACGTGATTCATTAAAAAAAAGATTAATTTATAAATGAATCACTTTAGTAGCTGGCTGCTCAAGCAACCAGCTAATCCCTGTCACAGATGCCCGCTCAAGCACATTTGTTCCTTCAACGCCCAGAGACTCAAACTGTGGCTTATACTAATGAGAAGAGCTTACAGTTTCTTGAAGAGCGTAACAACAGTTGAACAAAGGCGAAACGCTCAAAACTTCTGAACTATGACAAGATTCAAACCCAGATCGTAATCACTCGGCCACGCGCCTATTTCTTATATAAATTTACGTAACTGATTATTTTGTCTGTGCATTTTGATAATGTTTGATATTTTACCTATATTTCAGTGTAAACAGGGCAGTGTTTCTTTGTAGTTATTATTTTCATCTATTGTTCCGATTCATATCAGTGTAATTACTAAAAAGATACAAATAAAATTTAATCGTCGTAATTTCATTCGTTCCTTTATAAAACTAATTTTTCTTTAACCTGTGAAATGTGTAAAATATATGATGTGGCCTTCATATTGAAAATTTTGGAGACTGCTATGCTAAAGAAAAATGTCCGATTTATTATAAAAGGTCAAATGTGTTTCTTGTGCTTTTTTGGCTTTATGTTCTGTTAAGCCAATCAAGAGCATAAATTGAGCGTAAATTTTCAGGTTGTTTGGAGTTTTTCCTTTTTCTTTGTTTCTTCTACACGTTTTCTTACCATTTCCACTCTTTCTTTTTCTTTTCCTTTTTCATATAATTTAAATCTATTATTTTTTTCTTTTTTTAAGGATGCGAGTACAAAACACATTCGGGTTATCTCTGCCTCCAGATTTCGACGAGCGCAAAGTAGTATTAAGTCAAGTTGAAGATGTCCAGAACTTTTTGACACTGGAAGAGATTGTTCAATACAACCTGAACTGGGTGGCGGGCGGCGCTATCCTAGGTCGCTATGATGTCTTGCGCAAATTCTGCTTGAAATATCTGCTTTTCATCAAGCAATCTCTTGAGATGGGAATCATAGGCGCTGAACAACAAATGCTATATGCTATGTACAGCGACAGTTACAGGATGCGAAAGGAAGATATTCAGATTTGTAGCGAAGGATGGTTCTGTTTAGGACACTTAGCGGTGGCCACTTGGCTACAAGAACGAAATTCAAACAAACTTCGGCGAAATGTATAAGTGATACTTTTTAAATCATAACTATGGATGTCGATCTGTTTAGCTAAGTTCAGTAAGAAAAATATTCTTTAATCAACAGGGAACCCATGAAATCTCTTTTTTTAAAATTCACCCTTTTAATCTTTTTAAAGTGGATAAATCCTCTATGAAAAAATACACCCTAAATAAGTATTTCGAAATGAAAAAATTAAATCCATCAAGTATATAAAGGAAATTAAATTTATTTAAATATTATATTATATACGTTTAGGTATTTGATAGCAGTTGGGGACTTTTCATTTAGTTATCTTTTTTTTTTTTATTAAATTATCAGAACTCACTTAAAATCCCCGTTTATTAATGTCACACATTTTTGACCCTTCAAATTATTTTCCGACATCTTTTATTAAGACCCCCAGTTTATTGCATATTGAGAAAATTTTCAACACCCGAATTATTAATCACCTAAGTGTAGGTTTATTAAGAAAAATGAAAAAAATATATATACTGTTTCTTGAGAAAAAAATAAGCACTAATTAAAAAGAAAACTCCTCCAGTTTTATCGGTATGCACATGAAAGAAAATTAAATTAAAAGCAATAACCAGTATTTAAAACAAAATGGCTGAACATTTACGAGGGTCGGCTGAAAAGTCCATAGCAGATGTATTCTTGTACACTTGTATGTATTTTAGTCTACCTACATTTATATTCAGCCTATGAGCATCCAGCTCGTATTAACAATCTTATGTTCTTATAAAAACATACATTTGGTTGAGTAATAGGTAATTTCTGTTTGAAGGAACCAATTGTAATGATGTCTATATCAGTGTAACTACGGATCATACATGGTAGTTAAGAATAAATTGGAAGTACGCTAACGTACCTTATTTTTCGCACGATAGTGACAGCATACACAGTAGATTCAAAAATAAATTTCTTATCCCCGCTGATGGTGGGGGGGGGCTTGAAAGTGCGTCATATGTGAGTTCAAGCAAGGGAATAACGCCATAGAAATATCTAGAAAATATGTTCTGTTTAATATTAAGGGGTCATATTTTTTCAAAAATAAATTTAATAAACAAAAACGCAAATTATTTACGCGTGCGTTCCATAACCCATTATGGTCATAGAGAGAGCACATTTACTGCAACCATAGCAACAGTGCTGTGACTAGTGCAAACTAGAGCCCAACCCTCTTCAGGATGTTTCTAAATTCAGTGTTTTCCTTCTTCTAGACTGGTTGCCGACTCTAGGCCTAGATCCGCGTGCCATTTAACCCATAGCTGAAGGAAGACAGATTCATACCTTTCCCAAGAGTATTAGCGAAAGTTGATGAAACAGGATAGAGCGAGAATTGAACTCAGTACGCCTAATTTATTTGCCGAGTCGATATCCATTTCATCGTCCATGCCTCTAAATTGCTTACGACTTCATACTTATCTATAAATTTTTAGACATTTTTTAAAATTTTAGTTTTGCTTATTTTTTCTCAAGCAACAGAAAACTGTTTTTTTTTTATGCTCCCAATATCTCTAGATAAAGCTATATAGATTTTATTTTTAAGAATTAATTTTATCCTACACGATTGTCAATAATAATCTTTCCAGTAGAGATTTTTTTATAGCAGGGGATGATTTTTCCTATCACCAATTATTTCTTTGAATTTCAATATATGTCAGTGTTTATACTATTTTTTAATTATATGCAGGTGCTCAACTGCGCAGATGGTCACGTGGTGAGACGAGTGGTTAGACTTTCCGACCATGAGAATCTCACCGTGGTCGATTTGTCAGGATGGTGACTTTTTGATGTTATCGGCCTCGGGAGGTGATCCCAACGTGCGTCACCTTTGGAAAGTAAGTTAAATCCATACCACGAGTTGACCCAAGCATTGTGAGTAAAATTGGGTAGATGTAAATATTTGGGTATTGTCAATGGTTATGCTAGCACGCAGTGACAAGTCAGCTTGACAGTGTTTGAGCGTACTGTCCTTGTTAGTACTTTTGATCATGCCAGAATAATCACAGAAACTATAACTACGGTTCGCTCAGCATTGTTGCAGTATATACCACAGGTGGTCTGAACACAAATGTGCCTGAGCAGGCGTCTGCAACAGGGATTGGTTAAACGCCCTAGTGGACAGGCATACTCGGATACGAGCTGCCCGCCATGATATTTATATATAAACGATCTTATGAGAATTCAACACTAATTTACAAAGGGATTGTTGTTAAATTGTATTTTCGTTAATTAACTTCAGGTAATTTACTTTGTCAGACTTTTCTTTATTTTTTCATCATCATCAGTCATATGACCGGGTGTGGTCGTAGGGTCAATGCGCAGTTGATCAACTCCTTCAACATGCCTCGCTCTAAGCTCAGCAGAATGCGAGTAGAGAAAATATGATAGTTTTGTGGGTTATTCTCTACTCCCCGCGAGCAGAAAATTTGTGGACTGATAGGTTTGAAGGAATTAAAAGGAATGTTTGAATCAGCTACAACTACACGCATTGAAGCGGAATTATCATTAAAAGAAAAGAAACGAAAGTAAGGTGTTCTTCATTTCCATTCTTCAAAGAATACCTACAGACTTATCTAAAACCTATCTTTAAAATGGACGCTTTTATTCACTTTTTGAACGACACTACATTTTCTGCTGTTCCAAGTTGTATAAATTATGTACATAAGTTTATGAGTTCACGAGTTTTGTTGTCCTTTAAATTAACCACCTTTCTTTGTTTTTTGTTTTGTGTTGTTTATTTTTTTTCTTTGTCCCCTCCCCTCTCACATAGAGAAGCCTACGACCAATCACTTGTTAACATTTGACCACTGTTAGTTTCTCATTACGGAAAATGTCTGGATAGTCTTAGGAAGAAGAGTGCCCACGTCATGAACATGTTCTATTTAAGTTTAAATTAAATACTGTACTAAAATAAAGATGGTATTACTTTTATTACGTTTTATCGTATAGAGTACAGAAAACGAATTCTGCGTCCCGAGTTCAATTCAAACAGATTTTGTATTCAAATCGTACGCATTTTGGTAAGTCATAAATTCATGTATTATTTTTGTTTTTTATGTCCAACATTTTCCAATGGGTTTTACTTGCGCAATTCTGAAATTTATTCCATCGTGTCGATTCAAACGAGTTGTTGATCTTTATATATCATTTATATTCAATATAAAAGCTCAAGGTTTCTACGTGTGTATGAGTAAATATATATAAAGTTGTTTACCATAAAACTATGGCATCCAATAAATGAGAATTTTCTATTTATCTGTGTCTGCATACGGGCAAAATTGACAGATGGTCGGTTTAATATGCGTCATTACACGTAGAAGCAAAAAATATTCAACCCCACATAGTAATTTCCTTTGTAGACTCCTCGGGATTCAAAGATTAACGTTTTTGGATAGAATCGGAGAGGCGCTCTCCGTAGGAATGCCACTTGAATCAGAGCATAATCATAAGAAATGTCCTCAAAAATGTAACTTTATCATTTATATCTACTAACATAAAGGTTCTTGCTTAATTAATTAATTTCCATATTCGAAAACAAGAGTTAAATTTCAAAAAATAAATATGATTAGTTTTTTGGTTTTTTTTAATCGTTTCACCCCAAGCAATGCCACTAAGACGCAGGCGGTTACAGGTTGAAAAAGAATGACAAGGAATTAGTGAGGACAAATGAAGAAAGAAGGAACGGGATTCAGTTAGAGAGAAAATAGATTTAATCTTTTGAAGATTGCAGGTGGTAATGAAACCAGAAATTTGTAAGAAGTTCCACAGGTGAGAAATGCTAGAAAAGAAACTATTAGAATAGAAGTGGCGATTGCATCTCGCTACTTCAATAGTAAAACATTAAGACCTATTTGCTAATCTAGTAGCACTAGGACAACGAACTCATCAGAATAGATACCATGAAAACATTTGTAGAAAAGACATATGAAAGTCACGTTACGTCGGTGATAAAGTAACTGAAAACGAGATGCCAGATCAGGATCGAACATATTACAGATCCTTCTTTGAATTTTGTCAATAATCTCGAAATATATCTGCTCTGGTGCTCCTGCTGTATAACAGAAATTTAATTTCCAATCTGGCCTTTTTTTGATCATTATAAATAAGCGATTGTTTTTTTAATGGTATAAATTTTATAAATTGTTTAGTTATTTAAATAAAAGCATTTTCTCCTTGAAAGTGATAACGACTTCAGCATTTAGATCACAGCATTGGAATAAAGGGAAGTAAGTGTTTTATAAAGGGAGATAAGTAATGTTGATATTTTTGATAGGATATTTTGAAAGTGTGACAAATATTATAACATGACGTATGTGAAATAAACGATTAAGACTTTAATTACGCCGATTTCGCTATCATTTGACAGCAATCAAACAACATTAACTCTTCATAAACCCGTAGTAATTATTACATTAATTACAGACCACTGACAATCTATTATTTTCTTTGTCGTTTTTAAATGCACAGCATTCAGACTAACACAAATTTAAGTTCAAAAATTGCAAGTCTTCATGTAAAGATACAACGGGGTTCTCACCCAGCTTTCCACCGACCAAACAATGACTACTCCACACGCGTCTCCGTTTTCGTCAGTTTGCACAAAAAATGGTACGGTTAAGGTGTTTTATTCAGAGCTTCGATTGCTCGGTCTGGGTAGGTAGGTAGGTAGGTGACACTTGGGACAACTTCTGACATGTCAGTCTAATAGTTCAGCTCTTCCCTCGTACAAATTCTTTGCACATCACAACGTGTGACTGGCAATAGGAACGGATGGCATCGGAACTACCCAAGTCTGTCTCCTGCCAAGGTAGGACCAGAACTGACCACCTCGATCCTAACTGTGACTGTTAATACAGATCAGTAACCGGAAATAATCAATGACCGGCTTGTTGTCGCTTGACCTCAAAAGCCCTCATACACTCATTTATTTTTCTGTTCAGCTTCGGTCAGATAGGTGCCGCTTAGAAGACCCGAATTCAAAGACATTCACTTTGTTTGC